CCCCCTACTCTGTTTAAATGAAAAGCCTAACCTTATGGCATTATTGTTCATGTTAAATGCCTGAATGTTTGGAGCAAACAATGCCTTTGTACCTGCACATTTTCTTTGCCATATATAAACTTGCATGATGTGATTGAGTGATACATAAACTGTAACGGATAACCCCAACCACACAAAATTTATTCTGATCATTTTCCTTCAGTGAAAAACCTCTCCATAGTAGAGATTAGCACCTGTTCAGTGTAAACAGGTTAAGAAGGTGAATATCTTCACCTATTCCATTCCTGGTAGGGGTAAAGAAAAATTCCAGAAATTTCCTCCTATAAGAGGATTATTTTTTTTAAAAAAAAATCCTTCTTTTGCATTTCTGGACTTTTTTTTTTTGCAAAACCTTCACATGGTGCTGTTCTTCAAAATCAACCTTGTGTGTTTTGTGCAGAATACCTTACTTGTGCAAAATACAAAGTCTGCAAAATGAAAAATTAAGTTTTTGCCCAAAACTTTTATTTCATTCTATTCTATTCTATTCTTTATTTTTCATCAAGTCAATTGGCTGCTAATGCTATTGTTACTAAAAATAAAGTACTGGTCTTTTTTCCATTGCTTTAATACAAAGGGAGAGAGATTCAAATTTAGAACAGATTTAACTGCTGTTCTCAAGTCTTATTCTTTATTCTAAAGTTATGTATTAGGCTTTGCGCTCAGAAAACCAGCACTGAGCAAGCTGATTGTGCAGTTGATTGCATGATTCAGGTGATGCCTCTTGCGTGGCACACACAGAGAAGTGCTTTGCCTCAGTTTGGTTGTATTGAATTCATATTAAAATTAGTAGGACTTCTGTTGGATTGGCGACTGACACTTTATACTGATAGCAACGAAAAACAAACCAATAAATAAATGTGGCACCATTAGGCCTAACACATCGGCTTTGAGAATGAGCACTCTTAACCCCACCCTATGCAAGTTGAACAGCATTTTTTTTAAAAAAATTCTCCAGTTGAAGTAGCAAGGGGAAACAGTATGGCAGTATTTGTATTCTCTGAAGCTATTGTAAAATATGTTGGTTGTGTTTATAATTGAGATGAACAGATGGCAAAGATTTCATTTAAAGTACTACTGTATACCCATTAAAATAATCTCTGCTGACAGTGTTTCTTCGCTAATTGCATTTACAGCAAAGTAACAGAGAAGGAAGATTGTGAGCCTTTTCAGCCATTTACTATTTTAGGACAATAGTATGATCTTGTCGCAAAAGGAGATTCCCCCAGAATAATAGATGCGCTTCGGCTTTCTGTACCAAGAGGCACATCAAAAATATCGTGGAGTGGGGTGGGAGGGAGAGAGAGAGAAACCTGTTGGTAAATTTGGAAGGAAGAGAGATAACGTTTGTAAAACTGATGGAATAACTCTCAAATTGCCCTGAATCAGATTTTGCTTTCCACAGTTTTAAACCAGGATAAACAAGTTGCAGATTGATGCTGCCATTTTCATGGTGATAAATCTGAGCACATGTTTTTTTTCTTTTGTGCCATTTCTTACATTGTAAGCATTTGGTCTCATCTCTGTCAATATTTTGGGATCTTTTTTCCCCCCCTTCTTTTATTTATATAAGAAGCGGCCCAGTGATGCATCTGGAGTGGAATGATCAACTGACCAGGTGCTGTCCCTGCCCGGGGATATGCTCAAATGTGTTCAGAGTCCTCACATTCTTTAGGGAGGCTCCTTCCATATCCCCCCTTTTGGGGTGAAAAGCCAGATTAAATATCTAATCAATGAAAAAAACAAAATAAAACTAAATGAAATGGTTGGGATCCTACTGGTTTTTTTAACATAAGTTTTGCCTAGTTTGCCACAGCTGTGGTATGTAGTTCATTGATTGATTGATCGATCCATTGATCCATCGATCGATTCATCCATCCATCCATCCATTCAGTTTAATTTCTATAATGCCCATTTAACCAAGGGTCACTCTTGACAGGTCACAGGTTGCTATTATCTACTTTTCCGGTACTGCACTTGTTACAGGAATACACAAAAACCACTTGAGAAAATACAGGAATTTCTTTGAGATTAACATTAACAACCAAAGCCCAGTATCTTGTGGTGCCTTTCCTTAAGGAGAAATGATTTCCTGTTTACTGCTTGAGAAGGAAAGAGTCCAGAACCTCCATCGCTCTTCCTGTCACAGAAGTGGCTCGACTTACGACCGTCCTGACTTGCGACCAATTTGAGTTATGACCAGCTCCAGCCACAAAATTTTGCTTTGACTTGTGATCAGAGCTTTGTGTTACGACCGGGGGAAAGGCAGGGAATTTAAATTGCTAACCATGGATCAGCGAAGAGACTGCTTCTTTGCAGCTCTTTCACCCCAGCAGTTAGAGAGTGTGCGTTCGGAGGAGGCTTTGGACTGCCTGGTGCTGCTTTCTGCTTTTTAAAATGCCTGTTCTGAGTGAGTACAGGGTTTTGCAGCATGGGTTTGGGCTGGAGGGTTATGTTGCTGTGCTGTGCTATGTTCCAATGGGTCTTTTGTTGTTTTCTTTTTCCTGGCCTGAACGGATTAATTGCATTCCAATGGGTCTTGCAGTGTTTTTTGTTTTTTGTTGTTTTTTGGTGGGGTTTTTTCCAGCCCAAGTGGATTAATTGCATTTCCAATGGGTCTTGCAGTGTTTTCTTTTTCCTGGCCTGAACGGATTAATTGCATTCCAATGGGTCTTGCAGTGTTTTTTTTTTCCTGGCCTGAACGGATTAATCGCATTCTAATGGGTCTTGCAGTGGTTTTTTTGGGGTGGGTGGGTTTTTTTTCCAGCCCAAGCGGATTAATTGCATTTCCAATGGGTCTTGCAGTGTTTTCAGTTTTTGGTGTTTTTTCCTCCCATCTGGAATGGATTAATTGCGTTTCAATGCATTCCTATGGGAAATGGTGCTTTGAGTTATGACCAACTTGAGTTATGACCATCTTCCGTAACCAATTAAGTTCGTAAATCAAGGCACCTCTGTACTGGGATTCTCCAAGTTGGGAAATCTTAACTCTTCCAGATTATTGAATCCAGAACCACCTAGCTGCTGGGTGTTCGAGTTACAGTGGTGCCTCGACCGTATGTAATTACATACATTTTCCAAGCTGTGAGAATGGCCCCCATTATGAACAGATATGTACTGCCTGTAATCTTACAGGCTAAATGCAAGCCTCCAGCTATGTACAGGAACCCTGCAGGAACCCAAGAAACCACTTTTTATTGTCTGGATAGGTAAATGGTTGTTCTGGACTTGGTGGCGACAAATTATGAAGATCTGATATGGGATATTCTCTTCATTGATTGCCCGGTGTGCTCAGATGTCGCAAGAGTTGTCTCTTTTTCCAGTTAGCTTTCTTTGTCACCCAACGTTCACATCCATTAATGGTCCTTGGCAGTATGATAGTATGGATGATCTCAGCACTGGTCTCCACGGACACTTCCTTACCATGAAGGAACTTTCCTCATTTCTTTGTGGCTGCCTTTTGAAGTCCAAATTTATTGGGATACTGAATGTCCTGCATTTTCTGTTTGATCCTTTTGTTTACAGAAAGAAAACTACAAAGAGCTCAAACTATTTCCTGTTTGGTAGGGGACTGAGTTCTAGAAGGAATGTGTTGTAGGGTTATCTTTGTGCAAATTCTGCAATTTATTTATTTATTTTTATTTATTTATTTTATTTATATCCCCCCTATCTGGTCCCACGACCACTCTAGGTGGCTTGCAATGAAAGGTACACCATTGTCTGGGTAATTATAAACAGAGGTGGAAACATCTACACGGTGGTTCCCGACCTTGGTTAACCCAGGTGTTCTTGGACTACAGTTGCCAGAAGTCTTCACCACTAGCTGCGCTGGCCAGGGTTTCTGGGAGCTGCAGTTCAAGAGCACCTGGGTTACCCAAGGGTGGGAAGCACTGACCTACATGATAAGCTCCTGTGGCTTTTTCCGAAGAAGTGTAAGATTGTAGGCAGCTGTGGGTGTTCAGAAACAGCAATCTGAAATGTATATCCCCTTAAAGAACAGCAGTACTCAGAGTTGTTCTAGGCGTTGTTTTTGTTATGTGCCATCAAGTTGTTTCTGACATATAATGACATGATGAATTCATGACCTCCAAAAGATCCTACCGTGAACAGTCCCACTCAGGTTTTACAAATGAAAAGCAATGCCTTCCCTTCTTGAATCAATCCATGTTCCACTTTTCCTACTACCTTCCTCTTTCCCTAATGTTAGCTTCCAGTGAGAGTTCAGGCTTGGTTTGATCCAGAACTCATTTTATTGTCTTCCTAGCAGTCCACAGCAGTCCTGGTATCTGCAGACTTCTCCTTGACTCCAAATAAGTCCATTTCCCCCCTCTCTCAGCTTTCTCCCTTGTCTAGCTTCCTGGTCCATACATAGTGATTGGGAGGATCTCAGCAATGGCCTCCAAATCCTTACAGTGAAGGCATTTTTCTATTTTCTCCACAGCTGTACTTCCACATTTCAGTTCTTATGTGGTGTATTTAGGGTGTAAGCAGATGGGGAAATGGCTTGCATTTTGGACTGCTTGTGGCATCATCCAGTGTGCACTGTTTCCTGGCAGCCACACAATGTAGATGAGATTGCAAACCTGCGTGATCTGGGCCCAGGCACATCCGTACCCAGGAAGAGCTACCCTCCTTAGGGGCTAGGCTGGAGGGATTCCTCCACAGATGGAAGGATCACTTGAAGAAAGATCACTCCAGCGACCCTCTCCAGTGTGATCAGCTGTGATCCATTCTCATACTCTGATCCCATTAAGGGCTCTACTGGTTTCACTGGAATCTCTGCTCTTAAACGTGTTGCTGATCCGTGAAAAGAAACATGCAAGACAGAAGAGCCCTAATGGCTTGGCCACCCTAAATGAGAATTATTTGCAAATAGGATAAGCAAGAGAGTCTAAATTAGAAGAAAGATGGGCTCGAAGCCAAAGGACATCACAATATCACCAGGTTTTAGAAGAACATTCATTTGGCCTTTTACATCACACAGTAGAGAAAGAAGGGCTTGATTCAAAGACATCATTGTAATGACTGATTATTATATTTGTCTCATATGGAAATGAATCATTACTGAGAATATATATAGGGAATATTTTATCGAGAGTGCAATAATACATAAGTCACGTGAAGCACAGCAGAAAATACCAGCACACTAACATGTACAAAAAGGATTTAAATAATAATGAACCCAGTCTTGGAAATATTCCAGAGAAACAGAAAATGGAAAAAGATCCAGGGAATCGTTTTTCAAAATATGGAAAGTGGGGGGTGGGGATGTGTGGCCAGCCACACATGCTTTTGCATGCATATAGTTCTTTCACTGTAATACAGAGAAGATTAATTTCAAATTTCCTTGGCCATGGGGGGGCATTTTTGAAAAATTCTCTTTTCTGTCATCTGTAGTATCGTCTTCAGCCCAAACAAAGCTCAGAACGAGATGTGGGAGCTTCGTATTTTTATCCTGGGATCCTTTCAAAAAACAACGTTCTGCGTAGACATGGGAGCTTCTTATTTGTTTCTCAGGGGATACAAACACGGAGCTCAGCAGCACCACAGCTGCCATGGCGATCCATCCCTGCCCCCCCAGAACCAGCCTGGTTCCCTCACCGTCTCCTCACAGCACACGTGCCTAACAGCGGCAACATTGTGCCAATTGCAGGCATAGTCCCACTGGAGCTGCCGTGCCTCTCCCCTCAGTCGACGGTTCAGCAGATTAGTGGGGAGACTTGTCTTCCTACTTCTTCACAAGAGGTCTCACAAGTCTCCTCACTCAAGCTGCTGAGCCGTCGGCTGAGGGGAGAGACAGGGCAGCGCCGGCAGGACTTGGTCCGTGTGCTTCAAGGAACCCGGTGAATGAACTATGCTGGTTCTGGAGAGTGGGAATATCCCCTGGGATATGAATAACACACTCCCATATCTACTCAGAACACTGATTTTTAAAAGGATCCAATTCAGAGATCATCAAGAACCACTGGTTTGGCAGTTCGTGTCAGTTTGTTCAGTAGCCAAACAGGTGTTCAGTGATTCCAAGCCCCTCTTCCTTCAGTGGCACCCGCTCTGAGGCAGCGCCCCATCTTCTCTGCCCTGTCTCTTCTTGGTGTTGCCTCTGAGTGTGCGCCCACCAGAGGAGGCAGGACTTGGAAGCGCCGAACCCCTGTTCAGCTGCTAAATAGACTGGCATGAACCACCAAACTACTGGTTCGTGCCCATCTCTGATTCAGTGACATTAATTATTCTATTAGGACAGCCAGTCGGCCATGTCATTATCATCACTGCATTCTTAAAATTAACTCATTGCATCGTATGTTATCACCAGGTGAAAACTGAACTGAACAAGGCTAAACTCAACTCAACTCATGGAATAATCTCCAGTCACTTCTAGTGGCCATCAATGTGGCAGCGGCAATTTTGAGAAATTAAATACCTCCCTCTCCTATCCCATGGCTCTCAAAGGTTTCTTCATGCTAAAAGAGATCCCAAGAGAGTCTCGGAACTTTGGGTCTGGGAATGAGAAAAATTTAATACCTAAAAAAGGCCATGGCTGTTGACATCATCAGCCTTATGTAGCATAAACTGGCACAACAGGACTTCAGCCAGTGGCTGAAATCGAGTAATAAGTCACATCTAGAATAAACCAGCCATATCAGTGAGGATTTGGTGAGTTAGCTTTTCTGTAGGTTCCTTAGTTTCAGTGGGCTTATTCCTGTTAGAGCTTACTATTGGATTTTGGTCATTTTGAAATGGAATGAACTTACATAGTAAGGTAAAGATAAAGGGTCCCCTTGACAATTAAGTTCAGTCATGTCTCGCTCTAGAGGCTGGTGTACATCCCCGTTCATAAGCCCAAGAGCCAGCGTTTTTCCGCAGAGACTTTCTGTGGTCACGTAGCCAGCATGACTTGACGTAGAATGCCATTACCTTCCCACCGAGGTGGTACCTATTCATCTACTTGCATTTGCATGCTTTCAAACTGCTAGGTTGGCAGGAGCTGGGACAAGCAGCAGAAGTCCACCCCATTACACGGATTCAAACTCCTTACCTTTCAACATACTAATTACCTCCCAATTGTATCTAATTGTAAGGGACTGTACTGCTTCAAATTGCCTACTTCCAAGCTTAGAGACTAACCTCCTTCAGTAATTTAGTAGAATAAAATGAGGATGGGTAAAGGAACCCTAATACCCACTTTAAGCAACTGCCAGAAGAATGATAGTATAGGAGCAGCAATACAGAAAGTTTAATCTGGATTAAGGGTACAAAATTCTTGACTGAACCTCAGATATAAAATTGCATTAACTGTTCCTCTTTTTACAGGTGATATCCCTGATTTGTTTAGCGAAGACGAGGTGGAAAATATTATTTCTTCTACAAGAATGGAGTTACGGGGGCTTGGCCAGGATGATTCAAAAGAAAGCTGCTGGCAATTTTTTATTGAACGTATTCGTCGGCAACTAAAGGTAAAAGATGCAGGAAGAATATGAGGAAATATATTCAGCATAAAGTAACTGCTCTAGAATAATGCACAAATAAAGATTTCTCATAATAAAGATTTTTTGTGGCAAATTATCTTTGTTGGTGAGCATTTTAAAAGCCAATATATTGATTTATTTTTAATGTATGGAACATAGTTATTAGAGGTCTGAAGAATATTATGCCCTTTTACTCTTTACATTAATTGCAAAACACCGATTGAATTATGAAAGTTCAACTTGCATCACAGCATTGCATCTCTTTTTTCCTGATAAAGAAGTCTGAACATCAGAGAAGACAAAATAATAATTATCATTTATTTTTAAAGGAAATTTTAATAACTCCTACAGTGAAATGTGTGTCATTTAGGAGAGACACATGAGCAATCACTGGGCTCAGAGCATGAAATATGTATAATTTTTCCTATGCTAACAGTTCCATTAAAGTAGTAACACCAGTAGTTGTAGTAGTCATCGTTGTTAATTTATGAATAACAAATTCCCGCAGGGTAGATGTTTTGGTCTATGGTGGCAAAAATACAAAAAAGTCATGAAGATAACATTTAAAATTCTAGAGTACTTGTTGTGACATAAACTTTCATGGACTACAGTTACCGTAATCAAGAAGGGTATTCTCATCTGGTTGGTTTATGAATACATGGATGGAGAGAGAAAAGAAAAACTGTGTTAGAAATGGTCATATATCAAGAGAATGCAAAAAGTACTGTCTGAAAACTATTTAATTACAATATGTGCAAAAGACACTGGAACAATAAATATTTGGTGATAATGCAGAAGTAATCCTAGAATTGCTATTTGAAATATGCGACAGATAAGCCATGAAGGCATATGCTATCTGTTATAGTCTTTAAATGCTATTTAATATTATTCTTCTGCAAGTTTTTATCATGCTGTGGGAAGTGAACCCATAAACAAAAGCAAGATGGTTATCTCTGTTGCACAGAGATCTATAAGGAACTTGAGGCTACAAGCAAGAAAGCGTGAAGGAAACATGACTTATTTGTGTAGATAGAGCTTGCTTCCAAGCAGGGATGTGCACCAGCACCAAAATTCAGATTCAGAATTCAGATTTGGAATTACAGCCCTTCGGATTCAAAATCTGGAATTTTTAAAATGCAGAAATTCTAAATATCTGGAACTCTGTTACGGCTAATATGAATATTATATAGTCTTTATTTTCCCATTTAAAAAACCCACAAACAGGCAAAACATTTTTAAAAAGATTTCCTTGTGTGTCCTCTGACACCTTCCCAGCAATTGTGCCAAACGCAAAGAGTGCCCACCATAACAGCCAGCCGTGCCTCGGAAATTACACTTAATGGGCGTCCCGATGGAACCCTGAGCAGTGAGTGGGGATGCCAGCAGGAAAGGCCAGCTGCCTTGGGGAAGCAGAGGACAAGTCACACTGGGAGCAGATGGGCAAATACCCTGGGGCAGCCCCGGCAGCCAGATTGCCAACAGCATGGGGCACAGCGCACTTGAGTGAGGGAGCATAATCCTGGAACAGCAGTTGGAAGAATGGAAGAGACAGAAAGAGGGGGGGCAGCAGACTGAGCCATGGCAGACCTAGTGCTGAGACTTCAGGGAAGCCCAGCACTGGTAGGTTAATCTTAAGGAAAATACAGTGGTGCCTCACAAGACAATGTTAATCCGTCCCACGAAAAACGCTGTCTTGTGAAAACATCGTTTTGCGAAATGCGGTTCCACATTGGAATGCATTTAAATCTATTTAATGCGTTCCAATGGGGGAAAATCGTCATCTTGCAAAAATCTTCCATAGAAAACATTGTCTTGCGAAGCGCAACAGTGATCGCAAAAACCAATCGGCATGAGACACACACAATCGTCTTGCGAGGCACCACTGTAGGTGTTTCATCAGATCCAGGTTCCAGGAATGGGTGGTGTGGCTGGACAACCAGGCTTGAGAGAACCCTCTCTCTCACTGGGCACACTTGTTGATGGGCAAGACATCAGTCCCTTTGCCGCTTTGGCCAGACCTCCCCCAGACAGACTCCTTCTCAGCCCAGGAAGACAAGAGATCGGTCTCTCTTGACTTGTAGGGCTCTTGCATGTATGCCTCTGCCTCTGCCATGTCTTTCCAGGACAGGCCCCAACCACCATGCTTGTAAAGCATGGCACTGGCCCTCGAAAGCTTGCCCTGTTGTTCCAAGGATGAGGGATTTTGACTCAAGAATACAATTGCAGGTGCTGCTGTTTATGGTGCTATGAATGTTGCTGGTTTCTTCATGCTTTGTGTGGTCCCTCAGTATTAGACAGAACTTCTTCATTAGAAGGTGGAGAAGCATTCTGGGAACATTTTGGGAACAACTTAAGTTTCTCTGAGGTCAGCAAGCGTCATCTTTTCCTCTGTCTTTTCACTAGATTGCAGTGTATAATGTCTAGTTTGTACGTTAATTGTTTTCTTTTCCTATTCAATTGCTTCCCATAATGCTTTTGAGCCTCTTGAAAAATGTAGAGAAGAGGCTAGTAACAGCTTTAGTACATACTTTTGTCTTGTCACTTGATTATTGAGGTAATGGTGTCTTTAAATTATCACCAAAATTTACATGTTTACTTAGTAATCTTCACTTATTTCCTCTCTTCCTCCTTTGCTGCCATCAACCTGTAGCTACCTCTATGTCAGTGTATTTGCCATTTCACTCAGGCACGTATTTTACTCTGCACATAGCCAGCACTCAGGTATTGAACTCGGCACCACTCAGTTTGAATAGAACTAATAAGGTTTCATTAAAATAACAGTGTCAAGAGAGATTGTTTATTCCTAGGCTTTAAGCTTATTCAGCACAGTTCTTCATTTTCTCTGTCATCTCTCCTTAAGACTGCTCTTTCAGAACCAAGAGTCCAAAACCTCCCTCTTTCCAATCTCTCTATACCAGACTGCTTCACAAACACACTCCCCCTCCCCATCAATTTCCTCTCCTGGCCAACATTTTTACCAGCATCCCAAGCTCCTCACTCACTCACTCCCATCATATACAGCAGGACCCCTATATACATAGGGGATCAGTTCCACAATCCTGCCATGGATGCCTGAAACTGCAGATACAAGAGAACTCTATATACAACATACAAGGAAGTTGGACAAGGGCCACATTGAATGTTTTATATAGGGCTGCGGCAAGCCACTGATAAGTGAAACCATGGGCATCGATCCTGTAGATACAGGGGTCCTACTATACTGACCAAGCGATGCATTTATCATCTTTACACATGGAAATATAACCATACATCGTAACCTGGTTTGATTTTAAAGCTTAAAGTAGCAAACAAGAAATGATACGTCTTGGGTGGAAGCCGTATTGTAAAGTAGTGACAAAATTCACATAATAATTGTGAGTGGAGGGATAAAGATTGAAAACTTCAGATGTCTGTGCTCCAGAAAATGATACACCTCTGATAGGTTACATGTGAGCTCAGTAAACACATTTAGAGTAACATGTTTTTACATTCTTAAGGCAGACACAATTGCTAGGGTTCCAGTGGGAAGTGGCCTTTTCTGTGACTGGACCCAGATTGTGTGAGATTGCCTTCCCTGAGAAGTTCACTTGACCTCCTTCTCTCTTGACTGTCTGTCATTTTAGGACTTTGCTATTATTTTTGATCTACTGGGCATTTCAGTAATTTTAACATGCCGAGTCCATGGGTTTGGTGTTTTTTTAAAAAACTGTTGCTCCAATCTCTAATGTTCTAAGTATTTTTATTATTCAGGTTTACACGATTTTGTAGTGGATACCCAATGTTGCGATGACAATACAATGGTGAAGGATATAATTTATCACTGAAAAGAAAATACAGGTAATTACATTTCAGATAATAGAGGGAAACACAATCTCATAAGATGTACCTACATGCTTGGAAAGATCCATGTGCACCAACTTTTTATTGCTACTTGTGGTCCATCACACCAATCTTGTATCAACATTGTGACCTTGCTAGTTCCTTTCAGACTTTCTCCAGAAGTCTGATCAATAGCTGCTGCTCCTCCATTCTTCAGATGATGGATAGCTTTGGTAACTCTTTAATCTTTATTGGTCTTCAATCAAATCCTTCACAGTGACCTTCGGATTTGGATCCCTCCTTGATTACTCAAAAAAGGTTCGTGTTTCAGAGATAGAGAGCATCTAAAGCAAGTACCGGTATCTTCCGTAGCTTAGAATTATTCTCTATTTCGGAATGGCAAAGTATCCTTCCTGTACATTTGTTTTTATATCCAAGAACACTAACTCTATGGTTGGCAAGGTCATTTGTTTTTAAACTGAACTTTCCTGGGTGTTTAACCCCATATTTCCATATTTCCCATTGGTTCCAGAAAGCCCTTGGTAATGGTTACATTCCTAAGAAAGTAATTTAGAGAATGTATGTTTCAGGTCACATTAACAGTGTTTTTGATTCATGCATGTTCAGAGGTGTTGCACACTTTACTATCCTAATAATCGGGGTGGGGGACCACCAAGAAATGTAAATTACTTTTTTGGCCATTACCTTTGTGCAACAGCATTCAGTTTGAGACAAAATGTCAGTAACAAAGACAGAAAGGTGGATCCTTTTACTGTTTGAACAACTCCTTAGCTGGAAGATGCTGGCCACAGAGACTGGCGAAACGTTAGGAAGAACAATCTTCAGAACACAGCCAAAGAGCCCGAAAAACCCACAACAACCAACTCCTTAGCTACTGTTTCCTGGGCTAAATTAGAGATAAGAGTTGTAGAACAGAGTAATATAATAATTGAGTTGGAAGGGCCCTATAAAGTCATCGAGTCCAACCCTCTGCTCAATGCTGGAATCCAAATCAAGGTATATCTACCAGATGGTTCTCTAATTTTCTCTTGAATACCAGAGGGTTCTCTAATTTTCTCTTGAATTCCCCCCAGCATTGGAGTGCTCACTGCCTCCCAAGGTAATTTGTTCTATTTCTCTTTTTGCTCTAACAGTTAGGAAGTTTTTCC